AAAAAAAAAAAAAAAAAAAAAAAAAAGAAAAGAAAAAGCTCGCTCGCAGATTGCGAAGTAACCATCCATCGTGGCACCGTTTCGGCATGTTGCCGGAAATAAACGATTCGACGGCGAGAGATCTGCCTCCCTCCCTGTTCCTGATCAGGCAAAACCTGAAATCAAATTTAGCAGCATGGTTAGCCAGGCGAGCGCGCACGCGGCCTTTCTCTCACGCTCCCTCGAGTGCAAATGAAAAGACTCCATAGACTAGGATTGATAACTTTATTTCGTTCCTCTGACACATTGATGTCGGATCGGATCGGATCGCATGTTCGAAAGAATTCCATCATAACCAGGATCAAAGGGGAAGAACGTCGAGGTATACAGCCAAGTTCAGTAGAGCCGTTTAAAGCACAACACCTGACCAGGGTGATACTTCCTGATGTGGGCGTAAATGTTCTGGGTAAACTTGGAAGGCTTGTCGCAGTAGGGACACTGATATTTCGGCGCCATGCCGCACTCGTGGCGCAGATGCCGCGTCATGTTTTTCTTTAGGGTGAAGCCGCGATTACAGCGCGGGCAATAGTGGCTCTTGTTCACGGAATACACTTTCCGCCGCTTCCTTGGCACGTTCTGGCAAACACCTGAAATATCGAAGAAACGTGTTAGCGGAAAACAGCACGATGTATGGGCTGTTTTCGAAGCACTTCCTGGCCCAGGAGCGTGTGTGAGTGCATCGTTCCGAGTCGTCGCAATATAGAGAAAGTAAAAGAAAATTAAGGCTCGAAGGGGAGATTTGCTGATCCATTTTTTTTTATTATATCTGGATCAGCAAGAGGAGACGTTCAACGAGGATCTTGGTGGTCGTGTTTTGGGGAGATAAAAAAAAGGAGCGGGCAAAATCCTCGTTGAAACGTCGATCAAGCAAAGCTGGCTAGTATGGGACGATGTACCGAAGGAGCAATGCGACCAGAGACTGATACAGAAAGACACATATATTTTACACTGACGAACATGTAAAAAACTTTACACGATATTACGTCACTAGAGTAGCCTCGATTCGTTTTGGTTTGAGCTTTGATTCGATTCAATTTCGTTTTTTATCCCGTTTCGTTTCGTTTCGTTTCGTCTTGTCTCGAATACTGTATTATATCAATATTCTCAATCAATCTGCCTCGAACCATTCGTTTCTAATCACTTTTTAAAACGTGATTCCCTTCCTAATCAGCGATGAAAAATATCGTCTTTATATGTTTCTACGAGGATTGATCGAGGAAAAGAGTTTAATCGCGTGAGCTTTGTATCCGACATGTCTCGATCTAACGTGTCTATAAATATTGGATGAACACGAGGCTTTCATTTCACAGTAAGGACACTGATAGCGATGTCCTTGGCCACAAAAGTATCGCAGGTGCCTGGTCATGGTGGTCTTCTGAGTGAAACGACATCCGCAGTTGAGACATTCAAATTTTTTACGCTCGTTCGGGTGATATCTATACCTATCCAAGAAGTATTTCATCTCCTCCGAATAGTTAACAACGTCCATGCTGTTCCACTTGAAAAACTGCTCTCCCTGATAGTCACCTGGAAACATCAAGATATTCGATGGTTAATCGACTTCAAAACCATGCTGCTATGAACTTTTGTACCGTGC